TTCTATTCTTCTTTTTATTATTTTACACAGCGCCTTCGCCAAGTTATATCTGTTTCATTCGAATGTCAAGGTTGGCATTTGTTAGCCAATGCGGGGAAATTCCATATAAATAAATAACTAGCAAACAGGCAATCATTTTTGTATCAGAGCCATAGACAGAGGCTCTTAATAATTTATTTCATAGAAATTGTGCATCACTAATCATAATAATCTACTATAGCGACGCGCATTAATGTCGACCCAATTAGTCAGCCCCTCACTTTATTGCGCAATTTTACGCAAATTTTTTTAATCTTGCAAAAAATTTAAATAAATAATGAAAATGAAAGATAACGATAAATGAAAATCGTTTTGAAGCATTTATCATAAAAACATAGAAAAAAATATATAAGTATGTATATATTAATGCGCAGTTAAACTCAATCATATTTTATCCATAAACAATTAATTTGAAATTACAGTGATTAAATAAAAACAATTAAAAAATACACGGAACAACAGCAACAAATTATAAAAATTAAAATACTGCAAAATGAGTAAGTAATTGTGCAATTAACTGATTAACTGTTGGATAAATTGTCAACCCTATTATTGTGCGGCAAAAAATAAGTGTGTATAGATTGTGAAGGGATTTTCTCAGAATGAATTATTGCAATTATTTTATTGAATATATTTACTTGTATGAATATATGTGTTAAGAGCGGAAAGCATATTACCAACACGTTGTGGATTTAACACTTTTAATTAACATTTTCTGTGCTTGGAAAGTTATTAAATAACCCTTTCAGCGATCCACAGAGTTTCCGAAGGTTGAAAATTTTATCGTACTGGAATTATAAAAATCATGCTACAAGAATGTATGTATTGTTCGAAAACTACGCATATCACAAGTTGCATTTCAAAGATTTATAATTAATCTTCTTAGAACCAAGGGGTTTTCAGAGATTGAAAATAGTTTTTGTTTAGTGAAATATAAGGTTTAGTAAAAGAAATGCATTATTTTTGCATTGAATAGAAGGTTTTAATTACCATAGTTATAATGATTCGATTTAGTTGAAGTCTGCACCGTTTTGTTCGATAACTTACTGGGATTATAAAGATAATGTCATCACGCCACTCCCATGCAAACCGTCGTCCCTATTGGCAAAAAACTGGGACAGTCTATTTTCACAAGCTTCTCTTGAATTTTTCACGAGCAATATAAATCGCCATAGACAGGAAGAGGTAGTGATCAGGTGATATCAGATCTAAACTATAAGGTAGTTATATAAGAATATCCCAACCAAGCTGCCAGAGCTTCTGGCTAGTCTCTATCGATGAGTGTGACCTGATGTTGTGCTAATGGAACACAATTCATCTCCTATTGGACAAAGCTGAAGGCTTCTGCCAATCCCAACAAATAAATAACAAAACCTTCCTCAACGTCAGTTTTGGCTTAGCTGCCGTCTGCAACGGTATTCAACCATGACCGTTGTCGCTTCACGTTGTCGCCAGTGACCCTGTTTTTATTACCAGTATCCATCCGCTTTAGGAGTGGATCGATTTTGACAACATTCAGCAGCGATTCGCAGATGGAAATTCTGTACATGATGTCGTCGTATGAACCCGATCATATTTTTGTATCTAACCTTATTTAATTGATTTCAAATGGTTTTTTCGCCATCTCCTAGGCAACCGAAATAATGCTTACATACGGTGAGATTCGATGATTTCCATTTTTTATCGATATTTTTGACAATTGGCTTTTCAGAGTGTGGGCATCTTTAATATCAAAAATTTCTCAACGGAATAGACGAAACCAAAATTGTGCATGAATGACTCCTACAGTATCAGGACCATAAACTCACATTCACTTAGAATGTAGCCACTTGGCTTGAAATAAGGCGTTTTTCTATTTTTGTCCATCTTTGACATATTTTCAAATAATACTCAAGTCAAGCAATCACAAAACTGTCCGAGAGGTGTTTTAGTACGAAATCTAATGCCATATTGCGTAACACAATGACGCTTATACAAAGCAAACAGATATACCGATTACTAAAGCTACCTAATACTACCTAAAAAATAATGGATTTCTAGACCTAATATTAAACTATGTAATGCCAAAACGTCCACAAAACACAACACAAAAACATAAAATACCTTGTTTTCGCGACCATTAAGTTGAGTGTTGGCAACATTGAATCGAAAACATATTTTAACCCTTTGATTTTATTACGTTACCTCCTTCCATCTATTCTACAGTTTAATTAATTAAACATATTAGTAACCACATTTTAAATTCGTACTTGTGAAGTTGCTCTCAATCAACCTCGATACTTACAGCGTTAATAGTTTTTTTTTTTTTTCAAACTCACTCTACAAATTACATGTGATGAATTGTTGTACTAGTCTCCCCATTTTCTTCTTATATTTTATACCGAAGTAACTCATATTAGCTCAGTCATCTAATATGTGATGTACATGAAAGCCCTTAAATGACCTTAATTTTGGTGTACTCACTTAAATAGTTTGTTGGATTTACACAAACAAATTAAGTAGACTCTTTCATTAGTTTAATTAGCTGCGCAAAGTTCAAATGATTTTTTTTATCTGACTTTGTGTTATGTTCAAGTTAACGAGATTGGTGAAGAAAGGCGGAAACCAGTTTTACCCAGCAACATTACCAAAGGCCGAACATTAAGTGATGACACAGCATTTTTCTGTTGAGAGAGACATGAACAGTTCATCATAAATATAAATCAACTGCAATTGAGACACAAATTTATAACTTTGGGCTATATATACAATGACAGAGTATCAAAATCAATATCACTAATTAACACATCTAACTAACTGTCAAGTTGTTTTAAATCATAACGAAAAAAAGTAAACAATTTATCGCAGAATAATTTCAGAAATATTAATGTTCAGTTATGCATCTCCAAAACGATGGAAATACGTCGCCGGTCGTTTAAAATTTGTAATACTCAGAGCTAAAAAAAAAAAACATTTCGATCTTGAACGGAATAGGGTCAAAAAAAGATCTTGCAAACTGTCTGACTTTCTAAGAGAACCGCCTGAATATCTCAAATTGTGGAACAAGCAATCACCAAGCTTCAAACGTTTTTTGACCAGAACAACCTTTTCATAATTCATCTCACAGTGCGATCAGCTTCCAAAACTTTAAACGCATTGTTCTCGAAACACTGTTTTGAGAGTCGGCGAAGAAATTTTATCCGAAATGACTGGGCCGATCGATTTGAAATGTTCACACGACCTTCGTAGATACACATATCTGCCAATAATTGAAAGAATAAGATTTTTGATAACAATTTCGAATTTCCAAGCACTCTGAAATGTAAATTTTGTCAATAAAAACTTCTGTTTTTTGGGAAGCCCTCATTTTGTCAAAAATCAAAATTTTGACTAATCCTTTGATTATTACCTGTTTTATCTAATGTCGTAATTAATTTTTTTTTAGTTTTTGTATTGGAGATAGTTTTGAGCACAAAAATCTTTTTGTAGATCGGATTCACGAAAAATGCATTTTCGCTGATCGCAAGTATAAGTTAAGGTAAAATGAGAGGATTATGCAGAATCCAGTAACCATGAAACAAATTTAAAAAAAATTGGGCTTCCATTTAGTGTTCCCGAGAAATAACCTGCGAAAACTTTGTTCGAGTTTACAAATATCGTATTAGATTGCATGATGAGTTGTATGAGCTTTATGATGACATAAGCAAAGCTGACTGATTTAAAAATCAGTGTTTCCTTTTATAATATTTAAAGCGGTTGAAGCCATGGACATTCCTGCTTTACTGTGGAAAGAAAGACCAAATGGGTAAGAACTTCATTTTCCTTAGAGTAGAAATATGCATACAGTTTCCCAACTTCCGGTATATAGTAGGAACGAAAATATTGGCAGAAGTACTTTAGCACTTACGGCATACCATGAAAACATGATAACTCGCGACATCAGCTAGCTTATCTGAGAACCTTCTAAGTTGCACTTGACTTTGAGCTTTCGTGCCAGTGACATAAAAAGGTCAAACAAAATAGTTTCTATGAAGTTCAGTCTGCACCTTTTCACCATACGCACTACCCATAGCCCATGGTACAAGGTCTATTAAAAAGGTATTCATATTATAATATTATGACTTTAGTAATCTACATATACATATATATATATATATATATGACATTAGTAATCTACATCTCGCGTTGTATTGTATAATTTTGATCGGGAAACGTTATATGGCGTTATAAAGATAAGAATTTGTACTTAAAAAAACTTCTCAGACAGTGTTGTGATTGATTGGTTCGGTATTTTTTGAGCAAACTTCACAGATGGACACTAGCAAAGAAAACATACTAAACATTTTACAGTTTTTCTTCGATTAAAGAGAAAACGAAAGCTAGGCCGTGAAAATGTGAATAATATTCACCTCAAGAGAAGCTTATGAAAATCGAATGGGCCCGTTTTTGACATGAGACCAACCTAATTTGTCCATAATTATGATCTGCTAGCAGCGGCGGCCCACTCATTAATTTATTTTTACAAGATCTAATATTTTCGGCGTCGTATCCCATTTATGCCTTCTCTTAAACCTACTAAATGTTTATGGTCTGACGATTCGATCTGTTTACTAGATCTACTGGTAGATAATAAAGCTTCGGGAGGGTCAGGAGGTAGCTCTTGAAGTAGGATAGAGCTTTTGTAAAACACCATTTGAAGTGTATTTAGAAGGAAAATGCGGCAAATAATTTTTACTTCGGCAAATATTTAACTCAAATTACATTAGGCTGACTTCGGTATTAGTAGATTAGCTTTACAGCCTACTAGCTCCTCTACATCTCGACAGCTAGACAAAAAAATTAAATAGAAAAATACGAGTACTGCGGAGAGCATAAGTATGTAAATTGAATATTGAATATATGCATTTCTTGCAAAAATAGCAAATACTTTTTCTACAAGTTCTATCTCGATTATATCGCTAAGTGCATCTTATATTTTCCAGGGATCCCAACAATGCTTTCCGATGTCACCGAACTGCCCTCCGTGCAACTGGGCGAGTACACGCTGCAATTTGAATTGGGCGAACCTACAGAGCGTGCCAAGGAAGTGGCCCTAAGGGAGTTACGTGAAACACCAGAAAATAAAGAAGCGGCGACTAAAGAATTAAGACAGTTATTGGAAGGTAAAACTAAAATAATTATTTGGCTAATTAAAGTAATGACGTTAAATATAAGCAATGTAGTAAAATAGGACTAGTAATGGAATAATTTTTAGAATTTTTATTTCAAAGCAAAAAACATTGCTTAATCAAGAGAGTGTTTTTAACTTCTTTTCCGTATTTAATTATTGATTTTTACCGCTTATTCATCAAATAAACAATAAGCATAAAATTTCACACAAGTTGCTTTTAAATTATAAAAAGCGGAAAAAATTTAATTGTTGTTACATATTACTTACAACTTGCTGCTACAGGCAGACCGTGAAATAATAAATAAATATTTGCAAGTTTACATTTGAACTATGAACTCCTCCATATTTATATATGTATGTGTAAATAAATTCCATAATTGTCACTAAATAACTGAGAATTTAATTATATTTTATTTCTAAGCTTTCTACTTCTAGCATAACTTAAATGGTATTTGCAAATATTGTCATAGCAATTACTATACAGAAAAGCGTTTTGCCTGGTTGTAATTTACAGTTGACATGCGAATGTTATTTGACTTCCTCCAACGTCAAAACTTCCAAAATTCTCAGACAAACTTTTTTCTTCACACAGTTTTAATATAATAATAATATAATAAATATTTTTTAATAAAAAAGTACACCTGAGATACACAAACAAGTACAGTATTACCCACCTAATTGACCCAACTAAAATATAATTAAACAAATGGAGCTTAATAATAGGTCTGGTAAAAATTAATCCATTATTTGTGCAACAAATTGAATTTGAAATGAAAGTTTCTACAAAAACTTTCATCATACGAGTAGACAAGAAGAGATAGTAACTAGTTGGTGCCAGATCTTAAAGGTGGCTGCAAAAAAACTCTCAGCTAAGCTCTTGGAGCTTCTGACGAGTTATGAAATACAATTCCTCTCCTATTCGCCTAAGCTGACCGCATCCTGATGCTTACTACAGATGGTCCAATTGTTTACAATATAGCTCCGAATTTCCATTTTTGGTAGTTTGGCCGTAGAGGAGCTCCTCAAAGTAAATGATTCCTTACCAATACCACCAAACACATAGCCCTTCATTCCTGGCCGTCAATACTGATTTGGCCACCATCTCGATTCAGCAGCGCTTCACAGATAGATTGGAGATTGTTTAGCTCCTGGTCAATAAATAGAAACAGAGCTTTCTTTACGGTCGAACTCGACGATTTCCATTATTTTCTCGACATTTTCAACACTTGGCCTTCCAACAATACCGGAACGGAATCGACAAAACCAAAACTTTTCACGCTACAGGATCAGGACCACAAACACTCTTCACATTTACAGCCGTCTGGCTTGCATTTTCGCCTTTATGTAAAGTATTGCGTAATTTTTCTTTGCTGGTGTCCATATTTGACGCGTCTTTAAAGAAGACTGAATTAAGCAATCCCAAAAAAAATAAAAAGTTTTTTTAAGTCCTAAATTCTATTTTTTTAGCGCCATCGCACTTGTAGAACCCGAAATACAGATTCCTAAAGCCTACTATTGTATTTAAAAAGAATGGATTTATTTTTACTAGACCTTATAAAAAAGCAATTGCAAAATTGAGAAAAGAACAATTTTTCTAAATTCTGTGTATGAGCAAATTCTATGTGTGTATAAAAGCTCCAGATATTGAAAACTAAACTGGTTTACCCAAATAGTTGCTCCAAGTCAATGCTTTTAATTTTAAGCTCTTAATATTTTTTATTCACATGTTCATACTACAGCACTAACAGTTTCTCTTTCTATATATTAAATAATCTGTTGATTTTTGTCGTATGGGCTTGAACCGTTAATTGCTTATTCGCATAAACGCGATCCTACCTAGCTTTCGAAAACTGTGTATTTCCTACTTACCTTTCTACCTAGGTCTTATTTTGTACCTAGCCATTAGCTTATCAGGGTTTTATATCCTAAATAGCATTAATTGGTGTACATCCTGTTTGTTGTAAAACTGGATAATTATGTATACAACGTTAGTGCTCTCTCATGATTAATTAATATTAATATATTCAGGAAAGTAAGGGATTTATTTATCATATGGATAATTAAATATATGTTTTATAATTTTATTCTAATATTCTTATGAGTCTATTTTCGACTTATTTGTCCCAATATTCTTTACCATGCCATACTATATTACAATATTTGCTGAAACAACAAATATTTCAGCAGATATACACATATGCTATATATATCCGCCTTGAAATATATCTGCGAAGATTGTGGCCTTGCTTGGACTCTACTCCGTGCCAAATTTCGTGAAGATACTTTGTCAGATAAAAAAGTTTTCGATAGAAGAAGTTTATTTTGATTATTCAGTTTGTATGGCAGCTATATGCTACAGTGGTCCGCTATCGGCGGTTCCGACAAATGTGCAGCTTCTTGGGGAGAAAAGAAGGTGTGTAAAATTTATGATTGATATATCCAAAACTGAGCGACTAGTTTGCGTATATACAGACGGACGGACAGACGGACATGGCTAAATCAACTCCGCTCATCATGCTAATCATTTGTGTATAGATTTTATAGAGCCTCCGGCGTTTACTTCTGGTGTTACAAACTTCGTGGCAAACTTAATATACCCTGTTCAGTGTATAAAAATGTACTTCTCCTATGTTGCGGCCAAAGTGCTTTTTCACTAACATTCGAGGCTAATTATTATTATTAGGCTAATAAATGCAAACCGAAATCAACTCCTCAGTTACTATAGTTTTGATTAAGCCGTCAATGTAAATTCGATTCACCGGCAAATGTAATGATTTTTTTTTAATTATTCCTAATTATTTTGATAACATATTTTGCTCGTTTCCCATTTTTGTCACTTTTCAATTCAAAAATGCCCAATTATCAAATGCAAGAGCAAGCCTACATAATATTTTCCCAAAACTCTCAATCAAATAAAAGCACCGTCTTACAAAATTTTGAAAATATGATGTCCTGTTAATTTTTGCTCTAAATTACGTTTCCACTGTTTGAAGGTCACAGTAAAACGAACTATCTTTCAGAACTTCAAAAAATTTTTAATTTTTTTACCCATAACATGATTTTTAATGAGATATGCTTTTAGAGTATAACTGTCATTCAAACTCGCCGATGAAAATCAAGATATACATACAATATATTATATCTCCACAGAAGATCTTTTTTCCTCATGAAATAACCTTAATGCGATTTGAAAATTTTTTGTAACAAACAACGTGGCGTGAAAAAACTATCGTTGCACGGTTTTGTTTTCAGAATTATTTATCTATATACGAGGTGTGTTCAAAGGAAACGGTGAATTCTGAATTTTTTTGAAAAGTACTTATTTATACATCAATATCTATTTTGTCCCTTTCAAAGTAATCCCCCTCTTTCTTCGATTCTGACTTGATCTCATCAATTGTGACAAAACGCTTTCCTTTCATTGATTTTTTTAGTTTTAGGAATCAGAAAAAGTCGCAGGGAACCAAATCTTGTGAATACGGTGGTTGTGATGTAACTACGGTTTTGTGACATTGCTTTTGCTCAAAATTTAGCAATTTCGGAACAAACTTCGCTGCCACATGTTTCATGCCCAAAACATTGCAGAAAATTGAATGGCATAAGCCGATTGATATGGCAACATTCTCTGAACTTCCTTAATAGTGCTTCGATGATTTTCAAGAACAATTTTTTTCACTGTTTCGATGTTTTCTTCGCTTGTTAGCGTGGTCGCACCTCCAGGATGCTCATCGTCATCAACATCTTCTCGGCCTTCTGTAAAGCGCTTGTAACATTTATAAAAACTTTTTTGAGACAACATTGCAAGTGCCTTGGAGCACTTTCTTCCGTTTTTAACGCAAATGTATTAAATTTTGCCATTTCCTTCAAAAGTCAAAAATCGAAGACCACACAAAAACGGGATTAATTTTTTCTGTTGTGAAAAACAAACTACTAATCGAAATTGGCTCCTAATGCAAGCACATGATAAACATATGTGTCCGATTATAACAAAAACAAAATATCGACAATCTAATGTACACAGCCTGCGAAAAATCAAAATTCACCTTTTCCTCCACCTCGTAGTTGCTTTAAGAAATTCACCTGTGAAGGGTATTATAGCTTCGGTGCAGCCGATGTTAACAGTTTTTCTTATATCTAATAAGAAGGGTAAAAAACTTAGAATATATTTATTTGAAATTAATGTAAGTATCTTCCATGATACATAACGGGATCTACGAGACCTGTTTGCGGAATCGTGATTATATATATTTACATAAAGTTGTCCGTTCAATAAAACTCTTTCAATACAAACCCATATTTCGGTTCAAGGTCACTTTATGCCCACATCAGTTTTATCAGAAAACGGAAAATCCCTATATATATATATACAAACATAGTATAAATAAATGCTGTAAAATGTATGTCTCACTTAATTTTCTCTGCTTAAAGCACAAAGACAATGTTTTTTTAGAGAGTTGAAGGTCACGACGATGAGTTGCTCAGTAAAGGGCTATGATTGTATTAAAAGTTGTCGCAATTATTTTCAGGGTAAACATCTCGCATGGGAAGCAGCACATGTAAACCGCGCACAAAAACAAATATCTCCCAATGTATTTAAACATATTGCGTAATAATGCAATACACCTGCAAACGAATGTAAATATGTATAGGTATGCAAGTCAGTGTCAACTCATTGCTGAATCAGTATCAAAAGTGTCATTATTATCATCACGGCCACAGCTAGAGGCATTTTTTTTACAAACATTCCCTGATTTCCACTCGTCATCATCACTATGGTGCTGTCATAAAGTTATATTGCTTTATTTTGTTTTGACTTTTTTCGCACACACCTTTTTATGTTTGTATATATACATATGTATGTAGGTATGTGCTGTAGAGGAAGCACCTTAACACACATGCGTTCTCCAATGCTAAAATAAGCGGAACCAAGTTACCATTTTTTGTGCAAATTTTAATTACCCAGTAGACAACACAGAATGTTATTTTTTGAGAAATAATACATAACATTGTTTTACGCGCACATTTTTAATGTGTGCTTATGTATATCCCTAATCAATTATTAATGGAGTTTTGAATTCCTTTTCCTTTTATTTATTTATTTTTATTTATTTTCGATGTTTGTTGTTCGGCAATTGATTTCCTGTGTAAAGCACGACAGCTGTTTATTGTTTACAAATAATAAACAATAAGTTAGGTTAGGTTATTATTGCAATGAAGAACGCAATATTTGACTACCATAATATTTAAATACAACGTAAAAGCTAAATATGTTTAGATTTACTTGTACCTAATGATACATTTTTGTATCCATCCTAACTACATACTAAACTCAAATAGTTTTTTATATTTTGAAAATTTTTATGTTTTTTGAGAGATGGCAACACTGTTCCACAATATGTTACAAACTATTTATATTCAAATATTTTCATGAACTACTATGAACTACTGATTTTGCACTATTTGCATTTTTTTGTTGGGTGGCAACTCTATTTGAGAACTCATATGTATCAATAAGCATAACTGAAGATTTTCCCAAAATCTTTCTTAAACTCTCTTTATATGCGGACACATTTTGTAGTAGATATTTGTTAAAAAATAGCTAAGTAACCGTACGTTCAATGCTAGATAAATAATGTCTAACCCTGCTTTCAACAGGATCAAGCCACTTTGTGATCAATTTCCATAACAGTTGACTCTACGTTACGAGAATTTATCCGGATTTTATCTACCAAGGGCTCTTATTTCAGCGATCTAACCCTGTTTGGATCAGTAAGTAGCAGTAGTCACTTCGTGATAAGTATAGCTAACGATCTGGCAGGAAAAGGTTTTTTAGCCCCGCTATCAATGGGAATGAGTCAGAGCTCCGCTCTCTTTGTGCGTTCTATTATTGAATAAATTGGGCTCGCTGAAGCTTGGCCAGCGCTGAGCTACCATTAGTTTTAGCATTGTTGTAAGATCATCTCTGCCCAAAGTGGATCGCAGGCTCTCCGGCCTCAGTATATATATAACCATACACTGGTTATAAATCCGAATGATAGGGCGACTCGAAGAAATTTTGCAAGCTTTTGTTTTTACCTACAGCTTTCTTTTTCCATATTAAATAAATTTTTTTTTCTGTACGGGAAATACAAGGAAGGAACATAGTCTATACAATAAAACTCCAGTAGTTTTTGTTACAGATTTTGTTACAAAAATTTTTACAAAATCTTAGGTTGCTATTTACTCAATATCTATGTTACAACACCAAATATTAAAATACCAATATAAAAAAAAAATTTTATAAAACTCTTAAGCTATACGGAGATTTTAGTCTTGGACAATATTCTATGCCAAATTTCGTGAAGCTAATTTGTTAAACAAAAATGTTTTCAATACAAGGACTTGATTTTGATCAATTATTTATTATATTTATTTTAATTTGTATGGCAGCTACATACATACATATGTAGTGTTCAATACCGGCGGTTGATCGATATCTTAAGAACTGAGGGACAACTTCCAGTTAACATACCTTGTTCAAGTTATAAAAATACGTTATTTTTTTGGTAGTAATAAGTAATTGCTTTACATGGGGAAAGCACTTCCGACGGAGTTTTACTCCTTTAGTCATCTAGAAGAGTCAATTTGTGCTAAAACCTCAAAATTTGTATTTTTTAACTCAAGAGTTTATCATAGCTAAAATATATTATCTTCTTCCCTTGCAGCCCAGACAGACTTGCTGTACCCAAAGGACAATGATGAATGGCTAGTGCGATTCTTGCGGCCCTGCAAATACTACCCGGAAAGTGCGCGTGATTTGGTAAGGAAAAATGACAAAATTAAAATGAGGCTATTCACGAGATATTCAACAGACATAACAACTGTTGCATTGAAAGTAATCTTAAAACACTCGTATGCATGTAATCAAAAAGACTAATGACTAGTTATGCGAAACAGAAATATATAACTAGTGTAATCAGGCAATCCAGCCACAAACAAGCGAACTAACAACTTGAATACCTAAAATTAATATTATTTTTAATTACATACTCTGCCATGGCACCCGCTCATTATGTTATTATTTTCAGATCAAACGATACTACGCGTTCAAACAGAAGCACGCCAACGTCTATGACGGCCTTACGCCGAGCAAAGAGGCAAACATTTTCGAGCACAACATACTCACAGTCTTTCCGAATCGCGATCAATGCGGTCGGCGTATCTTGTTACTCGAGCTGGGCAGTAAGTACTACTCATTACAATTGTTTTTGCTTTCGGTTAGTAAAAATAAATATTTAATTTTCTAACACCGCAGAACGCTGGAAGCACAAGCAAGTCACACTCGATGAGGTCTTCAAGGGCGCTGTACTCTTTCTTGAGGCTGCTATGTTAGAGCCGGAGACACAAATTTGTGGCGCCATTGTGATATTCGATATGGACGGCCTGAGCTTGCAACAGACCTGGCAATTTACGCCGCCCTTCGCTAAGCGTATTGTCGACTGGCTGCAAGATTCCGTGCCGCTACGTGTCAAGGCCATACACATTGTTAATCAGCCGAAGATTTTCAATGTTGTCTTTGCGCTCTTCAAGCCATTCTTGCGTGAGAAACTGCGTTCGCGTATCTATTTCCACGGCAACGACCGCGACTCGCTGCACAAACACATCTCGCCCAAATGCTTGCCAGCCACCTATGGTGGCGATTTGGAGTTGAAACGCGTCGACGGCAGTCAGTGGTATGAATTGCTGTTGTTGTGCGATAAGGAGTATGTGGCGATAAACTCGTATGGGTATAAAAAGAAGTAAACGGCTGTGGGAGTGTAGGGTAAATGACGTGAATTTCGGGTAAAAATTGTGTATAATTCCTGCTATGTTGCCAATTTTCTGGAAATATTGTAGAACAAAATCTACTACAAATCAAAAAAAAAAAAATACATTTCAAATTTATTTATACATATTTCCAAGTTGCTTAAGTGATAATAATTATAAATTTGAAAATAGCTTTAAGTTAAATGTATTTAAGCTGTGGATCAGAGATTTTGAAAAAAGTATAAAAAGTCCGGCAACTCAAAAACTGTAAGAAAATCGTTTAAAAGCATTTCCGTACTTAAATACTTATATACATAAAGATTAAATTTATTAGTTTTTTGCAATTTTCTTAAGTAACATTTTTGGAATTCGGAAAACTAAAAATCCAAAAATAAAAAACTTATTTTGTATAAAATATTTAATAGATTAGAAAAACTTTATTTTAGGGCTAACAGGTATAGTTATAGTATTTTTTCTTTAGCTGCATTTGAAATGTGAAAAAATTAAATAAAACACATTTAATTATAAATCAATAATACTTTTTTCCCCCAAAACGAAATTTTGTGACACAACTTAAAATGAAATTTTTAAAAAATCTTTTCTAAACAATTTATTTGTATTAAATACAATGCATTCCACAAATTTTTTAAAATTTTGTCTGTACTGCAGTATAAATAAAAATAAAAAATCTTGAAATAAATTAATAAAGAATTTAAGAATATATTTATCTTGGTCTTTCTTTATCGAATATTTCAAAGAGGTATTGTACAGGTCGAGTAAGAAAAAATCTATTATTTACCAAAATCTTCGAGTCCAACCGTTTGAAACCATTTAAATAAGACTGGATACAAAATTAAGCTCGAATCCCAGCCGGCGGAATAAGTGACGAAGCCAGGATTGACGGTCAGTAATTTTTTGTGTATGGTGGAATTGACAGGAAATTATCGACTATGAGCTGCTCGCCAATGGCCAAACTATTCGGACCTGTAGTGTCAAGGAAGAAAGCAATCGCCCAAAACTGGTGAGCTTTCGCCAATAAAAGAGGAACTGGGCTGAGGTACCGACGTCAGGTCTGGACCTGTCACTAAGTGATTACTACCTGTCCCTATGAAGCATAATTTTACTAGTGAAAAATTCTCATCAGTGCAAAAATAATGAATATCCGAAAATCATGTTTGGAGTATTATCTATAACATATATTGGGTCATCCACTAAGTAATTTCGTTTTTTTTCGTACAATTGAAACACAATTTTTTTTTTGTGTAAAATATTTTATGAAATCTTATATATTTATAGATGATTTGCATCCACCAACGACTTTATTTTATCCATTGGTTTCAAGAGGCCTTCCGGAACGTGGTGCATCCTCAAAATCGTAATTGCCGGAACGAAATTTTGCAAACCAATTTTGGCATTGGCATTCGGTCAACACATCTTCTCCATACACATCATATAGTATAATTTTCTCCTTGCTTGCAAATGGCTCCAAACAATCTTAACCTTTTTTAGAATATTATAATTGAAATATTTAAAATACGAAAATTATATTATCCAAAAAGTTTAACTACGAATAATTCCCAATATTCATTCCGATCTTAGGTTACGTTAGCTGGCTGATCCTAAAATATGGCAGAGGAGCTAAATAGTCCTTTGTGATTTCAGATAAAAACTCCTGTAGTTGGATATTAACTCTCCACAAAGAGCCTTGAACCTTTTACAAATTTGACTAGGTGCTTATATGCGCTTTCTCACTTGGATGTAGGAAAGTGTGAGATCAGAGGTATTTCAGCCTTGAACTAGCAAAGACGGAATATTTAAGAAGGAAGTGTTGAAATGATCTATCTCATACTCTTCCGGGCAGCTTGTACAACTGACATCCAGTAAAGTTTTCTTTCCAAATAATCATGAAGTAAGTCGATGCTAGAGATCGGGAGTCGGGACATCCCGTCATTAGTTTCGTACGGTCAGCGAGCTCAAGGGCTAATATCGCCGCCCTACTATCATAGTCACCACTCTGGAATAGGGTGTGATTCGGAGCTGTAGATCTACTGATACTTTAATTGCAGCCACTTCCGCTTGAAAGACCGTGCAATGATAGGGAAGTCTGAACTTGGAGTTGATAGATATTTCCCCAAAACGCCTTGATCCATCCGTAAAATAACTCACCGTTCTTCTACTTCAACAACTTATTTCCTTCCATGCCTCCCTCCAAGAGATATGAGCATAGAAATGACTGCCAGGGCTAGGCTAGGCGACGAGATTATTCAAATCCCCATCTTACTGTATTTAAGTTTACGTAAATCACTGAATTAAGAGTAATGAGTATGGATATATATGTATTATTTTTACATTCATCTTAGTGTTTTATTGATTTTACAATTTTGTACATGCATACGTATATACTTATGTAGTTACTTAATTTAATCAATTAAAAGCAGCACGCCTTGATTTACAAATCAAAATCGAAACATTACGATATAAATAATTGCTTAGAAATAGTTACTAAAGTAGTGGTGTAAATAATTGCAACGCTTTCCATATTTAATATGCATGCCTTCGTAAAAAATATATATTTTTCACGAAATATATCCGGTGCAAGTGATAAAAGTATTTTATGAACTTTAAAGTTTATAATAATTTTCAAATGATTGTTGTAAATACTTCAATAATTAAGTTTTAAACTTAAGTTGCAGCAAGGCACAATTGGTTTTAGATATTTATTCGAAATAGAAATATAAATTATGAAGTTGACTGATAAATTTAATTGTTAAATTTTAAAAAGAAACAAGTATACATTTAATTTTTTCATAGTTGTAAGTTTTTTTTCCAAAAAAAAAATATATATATAAATAAATCACTTTCCAATGTTCTCGAGCACTATTCAGGTCACTTTCAATTGTTAAGAGCTCTTATGAATGCTTAATTTAACGTAACTTTTCAATGGAAATATTTAAATTAAAATTTAATATTATTTTTTTTGATGTTAAAAAAAAATTTGGTGCTGTAATAGCTCACAACTGTTCAGCAAGTTTTAAGAAATGAATGTATCTGTTGTGAGAATTAAGAAGCGAATACATTTTTTTTTTAGGTTATGTAACCCAGATTACTTTTAGCTGTTTCTTTTGGTGTTATAATAGCTCAAAAAGTTTCCAGCAAGTTTTGATAGTTTTGTTGTGAGAGTCAAGAATATAATATTAATTATATTTATTTTAGGTTATGTAGATCAAGCTGTTTTTGACTACGATTTTGAATCAAAAAGTTCAACGAACTCAACTGCTTCTTGCGCTTTCTTATACAAGGATTTTTGAAAATATTTTAATCTGCAATCGATATTTAATATTTTTGAGCGAAATTAATTCATAAAAGCGTTTCTTTAAATTACTAAATTTTTGTCATTTAGAAACTTTTTTCGAGTTGAAAATAGTACACATTTCTTAGAAACCTATTAAAATGCACAGAAACATACGTGTTATTATAAATTCTTCTTATTTCTTCTAATTTTTAAAATTTTTTAATAAAAATAAGTCTTTGAAAGACACAATTAGATATTTATCAAAACATATTTTTATTGATAGCAATATTTCTCAAATATAATTTTTTTAAACACTTGCAATTTTTATTAACTACAAGAGTGAATTGTTTTTTTTTTTTTTAAATTAAAAGATTAAAATATATATATATATATATATTTTTTTTTTTTAATTTTAAGATTAAAATTTTATAAATCACATGATCTTTATTCTTGTAATTAAAAAAATATTAATGAAGACTAAAAATTTGCTTTATATTATTATTTTCGTTTTTTTTTTAATTTTTTGAGACATTTAAAACAAAGTATTTTTAATTTTTTGTGCTAAACTTAAGAACTAATATTTGGTATATAAAAATTGAATTTTAAGCTTTGGTAAATTGAATGTGTGCGTAAATACTTAAATTAGAAAAAAAAAGTTTATGTAAGCAGTTACTATATATTAAATAGATAATATATAAGGAATGTCAGCGTTTGAAGTTTCGTAAAGGCAAATCAATATTGAGGTTATGTCAAGTTAAAAAGCAAAAACTAATATTAAGGTTACATTAGGTTTAAAAGACAAAAGTAATATTGAGGTTATGTTAAGTTAGTTTAGAAAATAACAAAAAATTACAGTAAAATCAAGGAAATTTAAATATACATATATACTGCTCTTCTAAAAAAATGTATAGGTACATAGTTAAAATAAACCGTCTCCAAAGCGGCCTTTTAATATAACACTCAATGGAATACTCAAGTAACGGGCGAGTTTCAACCTTAGAACATTTGAAAATTTAATTAAGTTTAATTATAAATATATATTATGTAAATATATTTAATAACTAAAACACGCAAAAATTATTATTATTTATATTTCATATAAAGGCAAGCTCCGTCTTAATACTAATTTAAATTTTATCTTGCAAAAAAAACGCACTTTAATCAATTGGTAAACAGGATTTCAAAAATTCTTTAAAAAATATAATTAACTAACGTTGCAGTTTAATTTTTTTTAAATCCCGAAAATCTTAAATGAATATAATTTTAAAATTTCTAATCCTAAATACCAACTGAAAAATGATAAATAAAATGTTTATCACAAAATCTGATTATAAATGAAAATTGTTTAAATATATATTTTTTAATATTTAAATTAAAACTAATTTTTTTAAACCATTTATTTAAAAAAATTTAAATTATAAGCAATTTTATAACCTAAAAATTGGAAATGAAATTGAAACTTTATATTTCAATCCTAAATACCCAAAAAATTAAAAAAAAAAGTGAATGTCAAGAATTTCAGGAATACTGTCCAAAACTAATTGATTCAATTTTATATGAAATGTCTTAAAATATTATTATCTTTGTAAAAGCAAAGTTTATTTTTAATAAAATTTCAACATATTTTTGTACTTTTTGTCTTTTTGTTCAATTACTTTGAATTATAGCTTTTCAGTTAGAAAAAGTTTCTTTTTTATTCCACGTTTGATTTGAAAAATAAGTTTTTTTTATTGTTGCTTCAATTTTTAAATTGAAACTTCACAAATTTTGAAATCTGATTTTTGGATTAAAACTGAACTATTGAACTTTCAATACCAATTTTCAAATTAAATAAAAAATAAATTTATAATTTATACTTCTGATTTTCGGAAATACAAAATTAATTTCCAATTTTGAATTCCGATTTTGGGATTGAGAATTAAATATCCAATTTTTTATTCCGACATTGGGATCGGATATAGATTTTGGGATTAAAAATGATGTATCCAATTTTTAATTTCGAATTTCCGATTTACCAAAAAATAAATTTCCAGTTTTTAATTCTGATTTTCGTATATATTAAAAAAATATATTTCAAGTTTTTAATTCTGATTTTCGGATTCAAATTATATATCCAAATTTTAATTCCGATTTTAGCTATAAATGAATTTCCAAACTTTTATTTCGTATAAATTTTAAATTTTTCTTTCTGATTTGGGGATTAAAAATTAAATTTTTTATTCAAAATTTTTTTAAAT